TGTGGAAGAATATATAAATTCACATTGGTTCGGACAGGGAAAAAGTTTTTTATCCTCTCCCTATGAAAGAAATGCTGTTTGCAATTAGTGTATGCAGTGTATCTTCTTTGGCATTCAAAGCATTAAAAGAACACTAATTAATTTCCAATAGATTTTTGAAAAATACTAATTCCTAGAGTATGAGTTGGAATTGACTCAAAGGCACGCAACAACAGAGTTCAGATTGCTATTTCAGAAAAATCCCTAACTGTGGACGAATAGAATCTGAAACTAAGAATACTTGGGTACTCAGATGTAGGCATTAATTTTGGACAAGTTTTTTAACCTTTCTGTGATCACTTACTTCTAAAATAAGAATGATAATGCCTCCTCCCTCAAAGAACAGAAATAAGTGAGCTACGGTGTACAGGTGTGCCTTGTGAATCATAAATTCAAACTTTTGTACTTTATTGTTTCATAAATATGTTTCTGTTTAGCTAGACAGAAACATATTTATATTGAAAATCTGATGAATGCTGCCAAAAATTAACCAGCTATAAGCTAAACTATAGTCACTGACATTTGAATGAAAAGTTTCAAGCTAAGCTTTAAGTGGTTACCACCATAGTCAAATAGCACATATACTCTTGGTCTCAGTTTTAAAGATTTTCTAGAGAACAAACTGATTTATCAACATGCTGCAATATCCCTGTATGTAAGTTTCTTTATATGTAAAAATGTGGGATTTTTCATGTTTATGTTTAAAAATTTGACTAACATTTCTTTCCAGGTGACACTTAAAAGTTACAGATAAGTAATATTGCAGAACTGAAGCACTGGTTAGCCAGGATAATTACTGGAGTGGAACAGTGGCATATTTCTGCATACATTTATCTTTAGTATCTATCTTTGCCACTCACACTCACAGCCATTCTGAGGGTAAGCACTCCTTTACTGCTCTTCCAGGGCATTGCTTTTGGAGAATTACTTGGTCTTAATACTGACTCATATTGCAGTTTTCACAAATAGGTAAATTTTCTATTTTATGATAGCATAAACACTATACACAGCCAAATATACACGCTGGTTTGCAATGTGGCAATAACTAGATTAAATGAGCACTGTAACATATAATCTTTAAGTCAATAGAAAGGTAATTTATAGGTACACCCTCAGAACATAAACAGTTGAAATTCAGTCTTTCAAAGGTAATGATAACTAAGTACTGGGTTCAAAGGATTTAATGACTATTACACATAACCAGTTATTGTTGAGTTGATTCTGACTCCTGGTGACCTCATACATGTCAGAGTAGAATTGTGCTCCAGAGTTTTCAATGGCTACTTTTTCAGAAGTAGATTGCCAGGCCTTTCTTCTGATATGCCTCTGGGTGAATATGAACTGCCAACCTTTTGGTTTCGTTAACTGTTTGCACCACTCAGGGGCTCCTTTATTACACACAGCACTAGGCAGTTAATATCCATGTAAAAATATCCAGACTGTTTTATTAAATGGTAGTAACATGATAACAACACCTGGCTCTTCAGGTGCTTCTGCTTATTTTAATGTATTTGTGTTCATGTATTGCTGGTCAAGGAAGTGTTGGCAACGAGAGACAGAGAGATGCACATTTTTTCAAACTCAGATTTCCTTAGTTGCACAGTTACTCTTTATATCTTAGTGGGACCTGATGCAGCCCCAACAGGGGTTTGAAAATGATATGGCAGACAAAAATTAAATACATTTGAAAAAGAATATTTTCTTATGTCTTATGTCTTGGAAAAGTAAAACAAAACAAAAACTTTTTTGAAAGAAATAACAACACCCCTCTACCATCAAAACAGACAAATCCATAGTACAGTTTGTTAATGGTTATCAGAGTATCAGCTTCTATAGGATTGTCTCAACTTATTTATTCTTCAACTTTGGGTGAGACTTTACTACCATGTGTTTACTACTATGTGTTTCTTCTGCTTCAAACCAGTATCAGCATAATCCTAGTGGGCATTTAGGTGGCCGAGGGGGTACTGAGCTGCTGTTTGGGGTAATTTAAAACTTTGACTTAAGCCAACATTTTGAGAGATCAAGAGTATTTTCTTTTTTTCACACTGTAGTCCAAAGAAACTGCATTCTGCCCATCTACATTCCACAGCAGATTCAATCAGTTAGGATTGTTTCTATTTTCCATTCAAAAACTGTAGAAAAAGCATGTCAGATTTGCATTTTAACAATGGATGGCAGCCATTAGCCAGGCGTATCACTTGCAACAAAAGCTGTTTGGAGATCAAAAAAGAGATGATTATTTTTGTAAAATACACAAAAGGCCATAGCTATCGAAAAATGCAAGTATTCATGTATAAATTCATGAATATCATAAAACAATAAATAAAGTATGGTCTTTTCAAATGTATTTGATTGTTAGCACATCACTTTCAATATTTGTGACCTTCTACTTTGTACCTAGCACAGAAATCCCATTAGCAATATGACATACAAAAATACTGCCTTCTGGATTTAGTGGAGAGACCACAGATAAAGCAAAAATATGTTACAGTTTTCATACAGGGTAGACAAGGGATGTTGAGGGTGCGTTTCTATTCAGCAATAGAATTGTGACATTTTTAACTTTTTGAAGGATGGAACGAGGAAAAAAGTTCAGATAACGTGTTGAACTAATAACTAGTGTTCTGCAGAAGACTACAATCGATTATGCTTTAACAATCTTCTGAATAGTACCGTGGATCTGTGAGCCTGTGAGGTTTCCTGAATCAATAAAGTCCCCCAACAACCTAAACTAAAATAATTTAAAAAATTCCCTCTTGAGATCTTTAGCTAATTTTGTTGTTGTTTTAATTCCAGGGCGAGAAGTAGTAAAAACGCTTAGCGCTAACACGTCATGTAATGCCAGGCAAGCGTCTCCCAGTAAATTGCCTCCAGTCAAACCTAACATTTCTTCGTAAAAATATGTTCAAACTCATGGAAAGTAGGTTTTTTTTTTTTTTTTTTTTTCCAAACTGAAATTTCAGATGGCTTAACCCTAAAAGGCATTCTTCATTTATGTTTACACTTGTGTTTCCACCACGCCTTTTAAATCAAACCCATGGAGGCCACAGCCTGGACAATTAAACGAAAAGGCACTACAGCTGAGAATAAGCTCCACCTGTTGAGGTCAGTTGGTTCACTGGACTGGGCTGCTTCTTCCCTTCAGGTCAGGAAGGCTGCAACCACTCCCTCTAGAAAAGAGTCTACCCCGCGGGCCTTAGGCAGTTAACTGCAAATATCTGTAACATCTGGCCAGCAGGCTCGCCCCCGGCCGTCGAAGGGTGAGGGGACCGCATGGCAGCCACTTTATTTGCACTGCACAAAAGGCAACACCTATCGCGGGGAGCCACCGGCCTTGCGCGGACCCCGCAACTCCCAGAGCTGGGGCATCTCCCGCGGGGACGAGGGCAGGGAGGGCCGGGGGCGAGCCCAGGTACGGCGAGGGAGAGGAGGGCTCCGCCGCGAGCCGAGAAGAAAGCCTGACTCATGTCGTGACGGCGGCGGCGGGCTCTTGGGAACTCAAACTCGTGATGCTGTTGCTGCAGAGAAAAGCCTCATTACCCATTCCGCAGGCGGGGACACCACCCAGCGCTAGCACACCCGAGACCGGGGCTCCAGCATTCTCCGGGGGGCCCCGCCCCTCCCCGTTGCGCCCCCTCCACTGCCGCGTGCCCGCGCACCCGCCGCGTGTGAGATTAGAGCCGGCACACCTAACCTGGCGCGCGCGGCCCCCCGCCCCTCAGCCTGCCCCACCCCCACTCGGAATCCCACAGTCCGACCCGGATCCGCTCCCTCGGCCGAAATTCCCCACCCCCAACACCCCAGACGTCGGCGCCTCCGCCAGCCTTCGGCAATTTCCGTGGGAAGACATAGCGTTCGGCAAGGCCCGAAGACCCGCCGCCACCTTCCTTTCCAGACAAGGCTTTATGTCTGTGGTGGCGGGGCGCATGCGCAGACGCCATCTTTCCTCCGTCTCCTTTCCTTGCCCCCTCCCCCCGTCGCCGCCACCTCCTCCTCTCGCCGGCAGTCGCCCCTCCTCCTCCTGCGCTCGGGCGCTGGTCCCTCCTCTCCCAATGCCGCGAGAGACTGGGGGATACGGCGGAGCCGGGGGAGAGCACTATTAACCACCACAGCCCCCTCCCCGCCCGACACCCTCCCTCAACACCCACCCACTGACCCGCCCCGTTTGCCAACACCGGCCAACCCCACCTCTCGTTTCTTTGAACGGCGTCGGCTGCAGTCGCTGCACCAGCCCTTCTGGCCACCAACGCTGCCGAGAAAGGAGTCGCTGCCGCCGCCTGCGGCCCCCTCCCGCCTGGGCCGCGAGAGCAGCGGGGTGAGGACGAGCCGGCTGCGGAGAAGAGGACAAGAGAGACTCACAGCCCTCCGCTCTAGCGCACGTCCCGCCGCCCTCCGGGGAGGCTCGGGCGCCGGCCCCTTCCTCCCCGAGGACTTGTGCCGAGCCGAGGCGCCTGCCCTGAGGGAGGAAAATGCTCGGGCTTCATGGCTGCCAGTGATGGAGCGATCCCTGGGCTCCCGCTGCCACCGCCGTCGCCGCGCCCCGGCCGTGCTCCGCGAGGACCTGGCGTCTCTGCGCGCCCGCCCGCGCCTCGTTGCTGGGCTCACCGTACCGGGCGCCTCGCCGCCGCCCCGCTCCG